CCATGGACCACAAAATCAGTCATTTATTTGAAAATTAAGATTTATACATTAAACAATAAGCTTTCCACGTATGAATTGTTTGTTAAAATAGGACAACATTTGGCAGAGACACATCTATTTGAAAATCTGGAATCTGAGGAAGAAAATTTTTCAAAATAAAGTTGTACAAATTAGAGAGCCCCTATTTTGCCTTTAAAAAGGTCATATTATTATTTCTCCAACAACATGCTGATATGCGTGCAAGGTCAAAAAACACTTTCATTGTCTTATAAATTGCATTTATTTTTACCTAATTATTCCAGCAACTCCCATATGAATCAGTCAGCAATTCATTTGTTCCCAAACCCCTCCTTAGCGCGAAGCTAATCTGTGGTGATTGGACCGATGACCCAGACTGTTGCGACTGGTCACTGCATTCAGCCAGGACAGAGAGAAATGCCCACCATGGCTACAGTATGAAGTAGCAGAGAGTATGTGAGAGCCCAATGCAGGAATACAATAAAGCAATACAATTAAACACCAGAATATTACTCTACTCTTAAACCTAACCCTAAGTAATAACAATGACACATTCAGTATTAATCCACACTAGGGTTGGGCAATGTCAACAAATTTGGCATCGTTCGATGTCTAATTTGAAGAGCGAGGAGGGATCCCGGGGTGAGAAGGGTGCATGACTTATTTGAGGACCGGGAGGGAGACGCGCGATTTCCAGGAGATTATCACTCGTTTGCAGGCATTATGAGTCCCGCAAATGCATAAAAACAACTGTAATGAGACGCGATCCAGCGGTACATCCTTCATAAACTCTCCAACGTGCACTGCTCTCTGCCTGGAGCTCAGAGGAGCACATGACAGCGTGCAGCTGTGTGTGTGGCTGTGTCTGTGTGTGTGTGGTCACGTGATGTGCGTGTCAGCGGACGGAGGGCTGTTTAGAAATGCTAGGTAAAACACGGTGTGGATGTGGATCATTTTTGTTCTAAAATGCCATTTTAACACTAAGACATATTAGTGTAAACAAGGCCTGGGTGTGTATTTTTCGCAAGCGGGTGTGCGACAGGGGCGGGGCGATGGATCGCAATGCAGGCTCAGCATCGTGTTGTCTACTAGCCATTGGCGATGGACGATGACATCATCTATCAGCCCAACCCTAATCCACACAGTGGCAAAAGTTGAGTTTTTTTGAAAACTGACCACGCCACGCATGTGTACGGACAGCTGATGGTGGCCATAGAAAAGGCAAACAGCAGAGGATCTGCAGTTCAGAAACACCCTTAAAAACGGTAAAGGATAAAGCGTGTATCACGTTTCTAAAGTGGTTTTGAACATGATATGTGAACAGCCCCATACAGATTTAACCTGAGAGATACAGTACAAGCACTGATCTATAATCAATAGGTGATTACAAGCCGCGCGGGGCCATTACCGCTTATAACACACTATTAGGGTGCTTTCACACCTACACTTTTGTTTCGGAACGTATCTCGTTTGCCCAGTTAGCGCGGTTCGATTGGCATATGTGAACAGGGCAATCGCGCTCTGTTCCGCGCCAAAGTAATCGCTCCGAGATCGCTTGAATGAGGTGGTCTCGGCTCGATTGAAACGAACCCTGGAGCGGTTCGATTGCAGTGAGAAAGCGATCCGATCCGAGCGCGGTTATATCACAGTGTTTTATGCATACGTAATAGGCTTACGGCTATATGAAGAGAGAATTATGAGTAGGGCGGGAAGTTTCGCGAGTCTCTGGATGCCCGCAAACAAGTGATGATCTTCCGGTAATCTTGCCTCTCCCTCCCTCAAATAGGCATCGTCGCGCACCCTTCTCACCCCTCCCCACCTCCTCTCTCCTCAGACACGTCGCGCGCGCGCACCCTGTCAATCACCACCAAACCACCACCTCTCCTGACAGCTGAGCGGGACGCTGCAAAATAAACCCTGACACTCTGACCAATGTGAGGAGAGTTTACTCGCACGTGACTTGTTTTAGCTCTTTTGGTCCGTTTAGAAAATTTGCAGTGTGAAAGCGAACCGCTCCAAGAGCAAAGAGCAACAATGTAACAATTGTAATCTCTGTTTCGGAACAACTGAATCGATTCACAGGTGTGAAAGCACCCTTAAACACATATTTTGCCTGACCCTTACATGTTATGATCCGGAGGAAGAAGAAACTGGTCCATTTGTACTGAAAAAGTTACTGACAAAGTCCTATACATACTAGTCTCTGCTGCTCCTTCAGTAGCAAACAGCTGGTGAATCCAGAGATGCAGCGTAGATTATTGTATCAATAATCAGAAAAATGACAGGAACAAACACAGCACTAGGTTGGCTTTACTGTGGTGCAGTTGTGAAAATGAACTTTAACCCTTTTTTCCTCGCAGCCAAATCTCCATTTATCAGTGACCGCCATCTTCGCGTTATGATCAGTCCCGTGATCCCCCGTGCCTCGGCTACTGCGTGGAGGGAAATCGCATGCACATTTTATTGGATCTGAAAGTACATATTTGGTGATGTACCGTATCAACGTCGATGCAATCAAACAAAAGATCCGAACCCAACTCGATTCGTTTATTCAACTCTGAGGTTGACTATTTCGCTAGAGAATCAATACCTTTAAACATGCTGCACTTTTAGATTTAAACCTCAGCTAGATGTTTCCATTCACTTAGAGCTGTTACACACTGCATGGAAGCTCATTCTCAAAAACCCATAATAGGGGCTCTTTAAGTTCTTAGCAAAGCATACTTACTTACTTCCTTCCTTACTCCCAGGGCCATTTATATCGAAATTGATATTTAGTCGCACCATATTGGTGTTTCGTAATATCTAGTTTTTATGAGGCGAGCTGTTAGCCCAGTGCTCAACCCCCAATCTGGAGGACCAGGACATACACATATCCACTATGGACAATTTAGCTTACCCAATTCACCAACAGGAGTGGTTCCTAAAGTGGAGGTCGCGGGACAATGTCCATTGGTGATTTCCAAAAGTCAAATCAATTTTATTAAACAATTAGAATTATCAGCTGCAGTAGATTTTATAGCAACAGGTTAAACTTTTTAACGCATTTATGGCAATCCAATACATTAAAAATACATACAGACCACAACTGAACAACAAGGATGATCTCCAAAATTAAATCAAGAATAGACTTGTGCCCATCGGTCTCATTAGGTGAAGTTAATATTTAATTAAATTAATAAATGACTACAAAAAATTTGACTTTTTAATGCTTGTGTTTAAAAAGGCCTATAGAAATGCCAACTGACCCAGCCGGGGAACCAGCAACCTTCTTACTCTGAGGTGACAGCGATAACCACTGCGCTACCATGTATGCTTAGCAAAGCAAAGCATATTACTAATCAAAATTTGAATTTACAGCAGGAAATGTCCAAAATGTCCTCATGGGACATATTCTTTACTTAATATAACCAATGATTTTTGACTAATTAAATTCAAATCCATCATATCCTATACATCAAACAACAACAATCCAATTCTTAGTGTATGTGTTTTTAACATATTGTAACTTGGAATTGCTGAAAGACTAACTCTATATTTATATAATTTTTTATTTTATTTATTTCCATAAGGTGGTGTGCTGCAGACTTCTTGGCCAGGTCACCCTTGTATATGAGATCTCAATCTCAATGGGTTTTTTACCTGGTTAAAGGTGCAGTATGTAAGTTTGCCACCATGTGGTTAAACTAGGTATTGCACTCCTGGATCAAAACACATTTTTACTCTGCTCCTCCTCTGTCCAGTGCACGCAAGCACAGGTTGCCAAATTAATGCGAGTGTGCCTGACTATCAAGCCTAAAGGCTGATTTAAGGCTGATTTTAATGGCAACGGCACACGACAGAAGGTATATTTTCCATACAAAAAGGAGCTTTGTCCAAACCAACGCCTGAAATGGATATATTAAAAAAGACTTCTATTTCTCACAGGTGAACAACAGAAAATGATCATCTCAGATACACCTCACGTGCTTTATTCAGTGTTAAATGCTAATAATGTGAGTTTGAATGCCATTTTACATGACACTTATTGCCATACTACTGAAAGCAACAGCAGATAGATCAGCTCAGATCTTGAAAATAAAACAATCCGTTTGAAAGTTTGCAGTGCACTATTCTTTGCTTCTGAATGGATGTGTTTAAATTTGTATTGTGTTTTGTCTGGAGCAAACAGCCAAATTGCAGATCACTGCACATCTCATCATGTGGCATGTTGTTAGGACACGGTGTTACAATGCAACCTGCTCACCGAATGTTTAAGTTCAAAATAATTATATTATTTGTTAAATAATAACCTCATGTGGAACTATGAATCTCATTTCGGAGTCTGCTATTGTCCACTGGAGGTTGCATTTCGGTAGCGGACACACACATTTTCGAAGTAGAATATCTGACTTCAGCAATGCTTTTCAGATAAACAAGAATGTTCACTTAGAATATTTCTTAACATCTGCAAACATATTATGGCATTTTTATGCTTTAGAAGAGACAAAAACTTACATACAGCACCTTTAAGTGTGATAGACCTTTAAAGTTGCCAAATTTAAGTTTTTAGCAATGCATATTACTAATCAAAATGTGAGCTTTCATATATTTACAGTACAAAAATGTCCTCATGGAACATATTCTTCATTTTATACATTAAAGATTTTTGCCATAAATTACAATCCATAATTTCGATTCAGTGTATTTTTGTCTATTCCCAAAAAATACTCGTGCAATTTAAGACGTTGTGGTCCAGGGTCACAAAGTAAGTTATTATTACAATTTAAATATTTATATTGTCTTCAGTGTCAGATGATTCTTCTGAGATGTTTCAAAATGCTGATTTGGGGGCAAAAATGTTCACAATAATGTATATAAAGGCTGTAAATGATGCCAAAGCTGATCCTGAAAATAAAAATCCCTTTTAATTTTGCAGTCTACTCTGACTAGGGTCTGTGTGAGTGTGTCCGTATGAAAGAGAGTTTTGCGTGTGCTCCTACTTGTTTTAACAGATCCGCGTCTTATGGTGTGAGCTTTCAGTCTAAGCTGCTCTATCCAGGAGCTGCATCTGTCTGCAAAGGAACTGTAATCAACTGAGGGGGCTGGATACACACACACACACACACACACACACAAATATACATAGACGGACAATCAGACACAGAAACACAGACAGACACACACAAATATGTGCACATGCGGTCACAGAATCCGCGGACATGTACATAGACACACAATGACACACAAAAGAGGGACAAAGAGAAGAGGAAACAAGACACAGAAAGAAAGAAAGAAAAAAAAAGAAAAAAGGGGGTAAAATGGATGATGCTGGGGGTGTGTGCTGGAGCACTTCAAACAGTCACACACAAAAGGAGCAGAAATCAAAAGGGAGAAGAAAAAAAAACACCCTGATGCCTCCAGAACTCTCAGCAGTGAATCAGCAGCTACTGACCTCTGGCTGATGGGTGACTGCCAACCTCGGAGAGACCTGAGGAACACACAGGAAAACCATGAGAAGGCGAACATTATTTATCACTACATTTTGATACAAAAGAATAATATTAATAATAACAAAAAAATATATATGGGGGATTTTTTAATGTTATGAAATAATTTGCCTTTTTATTAAATGGAAAGATGATAAATGGATAGATGGGTGTACAGACAAAACAGATATAACTATATGGATGGATGGATTAGGAGCTGATGGAATGATGCAGAAATTACAGAACAATGGATGGATGTAAAAATTATGAAACATTGGATGTATGGAAAAATGATGAAACAATGGATGGATGGATGGATGGACAGATGATGGATGGAAAAATTATAGAACAATAGATTGATGGATGGATAGAGATGATGGAGCGATGAGTGGAGAAAAAGATGATGGAATGATAGAGAAATTATGGATGGATGGAAAAAAGATGGAACAATGGATGGATGAATATAGATGATGGAACAATGGATGGATGGAGAGATGGAATGATAGATAAATGGAGTGGGAGATGGTGGAATGATGGAGAAATTAAGAAACATTTCATGCACAAAAAATGATGGAACTATGGATGGATGGAAATAGAGATGATAGAATGATAGAGAAATTATGAAACAATGGATGGATGGATGGATAGAATGAAAGATGGAAAAATGATGGAACAATGGATGGATGGAGAGATGGAATGATAGATAAATGGAGTGCGAGATGGTGGAATGATGGAGAAATTAAGAAACATTTCATGCACAAAAAAATTATGGAACCATGGATGGATGGAAAGAGAGATGATGGAATGAGGGAGAAATTATGGAACAGTGGATGGATAGATGGATGTATGGATGATGGAATGACAGATGGAAAAATGATGGAACAATGGATGGATTAATGTAGATGATGGAACAATGGATGGATGGAGAGATGGAATGATAAGATAGATGGAGTGAGAGATGGTGGAATGATGGAGAAATTAAGAAACAATTGATGCACATAAAATTAATGGAACTATGGATGGATGGAAAGAAAAATTATGGAATGATGGAGAAATTATGGAACAATAGATGTATGCAAGTATGGATGGATGGATTGATTGATGAAGACATGATGAAGAAATGATTGACCAATGGGTGGATGGATGGAGCTGAATGGAAAAATTATGGAACAATAAATGGTGGGAGAGAAGAGAGAGGGGGGGGAGATGATAATGGAATTATAGAGAAATTATGAAACAATGGATGGATGGAGACAGGATGAAGAAATTATTGACCAATGGATGGATGAAAAGATGATGGAAGAATGGATGTAAAAATGATGAAACAATGGATGGATAGAGATGATGGAACAATGGATGGATGGAGAGAGGGAATGATGGGTAGATGGATTGAGAGATGAAGAAATGATAAATAAATTATGAAACAACTGATGGATATCAAAATGACGGAAAGAGAAATGATGGAATAATGGATAAATGATGGAACAATTGATGGATTGATAGAGAGATGATGGAACGATTGATCGACGGATGGCAAAACAAATCAAACAATAGATGCATAAATGGAGCGAATTTGGAACAAAAGATGGAGAGATGATGCAAAATAGATAAATGAACAGATGGGTGGATGGAGTAATAGATGAATGGAACAACTGATAGGACAAAAGATAAACCTATGGAACAATAGATTGATAAAACGATGAATGAATAATAGAACAATGACCTAATAAATAGAGAGATGGAAAGTTAGATAAAGAAATAGAATAATGGATGGATGGACAGTTTAAAAATATATGGATGATGGAACAATACATAGATAGATAGAATGACAGATAAATGAATGAAATGAACAACTGATGGAACAAAAGGTGAATGAATGATGGATGAAAAGACAAAGAGATGGAACAATGGAAGTTAAAATGGTTGGACAAAAAAACAGACGAATGACTGAATGAATGAATAAATGGATGGATGGAACAACAGATGAATGGAACAAGAGATGATATGTCATTGCTAGTACCAATTTTAAGATTTCAGTTACTATGAAGTACTAACAAAAGAATAATGATTAACAAAAATAACTATCAAGGAGAGCTGGAAAACCTAAATAGAGCTGTAAAACTTAAATAGATGGCTTACCTTTGGGTGAGCTGAGAGGGTTGGCATGAGAGCTTTCAGGATTGAGCTCCAGATTGAATTGAAGCTGCTCATCATTTTCTGTGATTGCTGCAAAGGCCAATCAACATGAGACAGTGAAGATCAGGTTTTCTCAGAGAGTTGTGTGTCCTATATGAAGATACGCACAGCACATGCTCACCCTTTGTCAGTGTCTTCTCCCCACTTTGTTTGCCGTTCTCCAGAATCTGCTCTTTGTCAAAGCTCATTGCCACAGCCGTCACTGCAACCTAACAGAAAAATAACACAGAAATCAAACAATAACACTTTAATCTCCTCCCAAAGCTCCGACGGTCTGTTTAGAGAAACTGTCAATCACAAATATCAATCACGATGACACGCCCCGTTTTTATAGCATTAAATTACTGGCTAAAAACATTCTCTTTATAAAAATGAAGATCTGTGCCTATATCAGCATTATAACCAGTGCCTTAATAGACCAAAACCATCTTTCCAACATTTTATTGCAAGTGTAATTAATTTTTTTTATTTGGGCTCAAGTGTTATTAGTCATTAACACGGAGGAGGCGAGCTTTATGACTTGCACTGCAGACAGAGCGAAGGGGCCTTCACTCAAAAGTAGGCATGAGACACACTTGGTTTTTAACAGCAGATGGCACTATGGGCTTGTTTTTAACCCCACACAGAAATGTCCACAAGGAAGAGTGCTTGAGCGTTCAGCTGAGTCATGTAAGTTCACATTTATGTCATATATTATGAAATGGTTGCGCCCAACTGAGCCTGGTTTCTCTCGAGGTTTTTTTAATTCTTCACTTTTGCCAACTGGTTAAGTTTTTTCCTCGCCGTTGTCGCCACTGGCTTGCAAAGTGCGGGATCTGTAGAGCCGTGCATTGATGGATTTGCTCCTCAGTCTTTGGACTCTTAGTAGTGATTATTAAACCACACTGAAATGAGCTAAACTGAACTTAAACTCTGAACTACACTGTTCAATTTACTATAATCTTTTATGTGAAGTTGTTTTGACACAATCTGCACTGTAAAAGCGCTATACAAATAAAGGTAAATTGAATTTGTCACTAGATTAATGCAAACACAGCTCACTATAAACACTCTTCACTTAAACCTTTGCCAACATTAATAATGATTATTTTATGTAAACAAATCATTGGTATTCGTAAGAAATTGAAAGTGAGCAAAATATGGCAGTAATGATTACAGCGCCATCTGCTGGTAACAATCAAGCCAAAAATCCATTCAAGAGAGAAAAGCGTTGAATTTTGAAAATCTCAGAACCAGTTTCTCAAACTATTTTTCACCACAGCTCTATTTATTAGATATTACGTATGACTTTATTATTTGTTTCATGACATTAACGAGGCAAAATAGTTATTAATAATACACAACAAAAAGGTATGCATGTTTGTTCTTACCTGTATGAGCTCATCTTCAGGTATGGCCACGGTGAAGTTCAGGTGACAAAGACAGCAGGGAACCATCGACCGCAATTTAAAGTACAAACTCTACAGAGCAAGCATAAATTTCCCAGTTAGAGCAGTAATGTAAAACCTTTCAAATGATTTATCTAAGTTTAGGTCACATCAGACCATGAAATTATCTCTTGATAAAAAAATATGCATAATATAAAATGAGATAATATGATAGTATATGAAATCGAACAGAACATGTATCCACCTTGAGCAGGTTCTCACAGAGGTCACTGAAAATTTTATTCAGTCCCTGATTGGTTAGGTTGGCGTTATTAAGGCGAAAGACCCTCACAGAGGTAAACATCTGAAAGCACACAAAAAATATTACACTCTTTTCAAACTTTAGTATACGTTTTGCCTGTTCGATTGCATCACAAAATCATTTTTGGGACTGAAAACAGCATAAAATACAAAAGAGTGGAAGGTCTTGTTGTTGTGTAATTGTAAACACCCAAACGCTCATGCCCCCTCATGACTTGGGGAACTGTTCCTTGAAATGTATGCAAATAGTGCATAACTGGGATAAATGTCACCTGTATAGCTGAAGTCCAGTTTTGAATCCCAGGCATGATTTCAGTGTTGCAGCTGTAGAAACCTGAAATAAAGACATCAGCATATTAATAATATACTAATGATATCTATCTATCCATCCATCCATCCATACACAACAAAAAATATAGTTTGTGTGCTATATTGACTAGATAATTAGAAAAATCTGGCAGATTTTTAATCTTCAAAACTGAAGTAAATTTTATTTATGAGAATGTAAATTGTTTAAATGTATGTATGCTATAACAAGTAATATAAATGCTAATTCTAATAAATGGATAAAGACATGGACAGGTGAATATACATTGCTGATCTAGTAGAAGTGTTTACCTTGTGGAGTGGGGGAGTCAGTCAGAAGTGCATGTATGTCTTCCACAGCATCAGTGTCATCAATCTAGAAGAGCATTAAAACATTAAAACATGCTAAATGTCTTTGTTCATCTTCTGATTGCACTTCTTCTTACCTCTAACACAAAGGCATCCTTCTTCCCATGTGATAAGTCTAGCTCTGACACTTCATCTGAGCTCTCAGACTGAGAACGAAAAAGACGAGACCTTTGACGAGGCTCAGGGATTGGCGAACCAATGATCTCTTCAACGACCTCCTACAATGAAAATAAAAATAAATATATTTATACGTTTTAGCAATGTTTTTAAAAGTGTAACAAGGGGAAAACAGAAATAAATTAATTAAAAGGGAGAATTTAGATAATTAAATTATTAATTTACAGCAAATCTGCTTTAATGGCCATTTCAAGCAGTTTACAAACAACAGATTTCCATAACAATAAAAAGACAACAATAAATAATACATAACACAAAAATATAAATAAGTTTTGAAAATGTAATTTTGATAAAACATTTTATAGTTTTTAAAGAATTCACATTTTAAATAAATTAACTTAAAATCTCTTCAGATAAAAACCACTGTGTCACAACACTCAGAAAAAGAACTTGTAAAAGTATGTTTTAAAATAAACTTAATATAAATTAAATGAATAATTGTGTTTAAATTAAATTTATTATTTCTTTAATAAACTATTAAATTTTAATTATTAATTAGTTTATTTCCACATCAAAAAGACATCATCAACAAAAAAAACAATACATAAGATAATCTAAAATGATTTAATATTTACTTCAAAATAATACATTTTAAAGTCTCTTCAGATAAAAATCTCTCACAATATTCAGATGAACTGTTTCAAAATAAGCTTAATTAATTAAATTAAACCAATTAAATTAAAAACTGTGTTGAAATTTCAAGTACTTAACTACTTAATTTGAAAAGTAATTGCCACTAGGTCTGCTCAGATTAACCAAATAACCGTTAACTGAAATAATGTATTTTTAACCGATTAATGCTATGAACTGCTATTAAATACTATTAAACGGTTACACATAGGCTATTTGTTGTAGAAGAAAAGAAAAGAAGAAAAGAAGCAAAATTAAACGACTTAATGCCAAACCAGCATTGATTGAGATGCCTCTGTCCTGAATCCGTGTCATAAACACCTCGGTCTCTTTGCACAAGTGGAGCATGAAGCCGCAAAAGCAAAACTTTCTGAAACGTGCATTGCTTTGCAAACAAGTCGGAGCAACAGGGTTTTCTTTCCATAATTATTTAATAATTGAATATTAATTGGACAGGTTAATGGTTAATACTAAAACGGTGGAGGTTGTCAGTTGCGAAAAAATTAGCATCCCTAATAGCCATATCAAAAAGGCATCGACAACAATACATAAACTGTTTTAGATGACCTTATCTTATATATTAACATTTACTTAAATATAATTTATATATTTAAAAATATGTAATTATTTGAAAGTCTTTCCAGATACAAGAGTTGTCTCATGATATTAAAAATAAGGCATTGTCAAAGTATGATACAAAATTATATAATAAAAGTAAATGTGCGTACTTACAGGCGGGTTGATTTCATACAGATCTTTGTTTTTAGCGATGGTGTCATTGATTTTCTTCTGCATATTGGAGATGTGCTGTTCGTATGTGATGTCGCTGGGAGTTTTTCCTGCAATCTGGATTCCTCCCGGACCAGGTAATGCTGTCAAATAGACTCCTGTTGCGGACTGGATTTAACAAACATCATCTATTAGCATGGAAAAAGCAGCATGTATAGTCGTATTGAGAAAAGATGGTTAACAGCACACTGACCGCCAGTCCCAGCAGCATAGTCTCTCCCACACTGATCTGAATACGCAGACCAAACAAAGCATTCATGCCCCGTAGCTTTAATTTGTTCATTAGCTGTGTGTGGAGCTCGTACTCCAGAAATGGTAGAAGATTGCTAATGGCTGTGGCGTTTCCTTCTCCCTGGGCTTTCTTTTTAGTCCGACAAAGCCTATATTAAGAGAGAAAAATGCAATGAAAAATCGGATTATCTATTACGATTGGCAATATGTGCAGCAAACAAGAAGAGCACATTGTGAGGAACACTGTTATCCCACAATGCAATTTACTTGACTTGACCTATACCCAAAATCTGAAAACAAAGTTACTTGGGGCATTTTAAAAACATTTAGTGTCTGTTTTTATTCATAGTAAAATGCAACGTGACAATGTAATTAAAATCTGCATATTACTATGCTGCATATATTATGTACAGTGGAAGACAAAATACTTAGTCTTCTGAAATTTGTACTCATTTTCAAGTGATGTTTAACAGAGCATAGAATACTTTCACAGCATTTCTTAA